GGACTTATCTCTGGACATCGTCTAAAGTCATTTCGTCTTTTAAGTTCTAGTGTGTAAATTTCAACTGCGTAGTTTCTTTTGTTATTGGACATGAAGAAAAAAAAATCTCTAGTTCACATTGTCATAGTTTGTCCGAATCTAGAACGATCGAAATATGAATATTGTCACTAACTTTTGAGAAGAAATTTTTCTCTTCTACTTCTCGAAAAAATTTGATGAAACAAAATAAAATTTTCTTCCTTTCACTACAACACTTATTTTAGATAAGAACAATTTACGACGATGGCTGCCGAAGCCCCCATGTCTCCTCAAACATCATCGGCAACAGTCACAACAAGAAACAAGATGCAAGTTATGACCTTTCCATCATTTGATTTTCGTATGTTTGATGATGGTCAATTCAATTTTTTGATCAATTGTTTAGAGATAAACGGTAGGTCTTTTTCTTCTGTCAGTTCTTCTCATAAGGATAAGGAAAAGGTCAACAATGGAAAATAAGAGTGACAGAGTTTCATTTCTTAATTCGTTATCTTCTCATAGAAGGATAGACAAAGAGAAATTTGTTTTCGAACGTATGATGATTACCATACGTGCGTAATTTAAACTTTGAATTTAAAAAAAATGATCAAACAATATTGCGCTTTCCCAACATGCATAACTTTCAAGAGACGTTTTTTAGAAAAACTTGAACAATTCATTTATCACTGAACAAGCATGAAAATGTGCCAGAGAAAGTTTTTGAGTGTAATGAAGTAAGCTATTTCTCGTCATGCAAGAAAAGCCCATTTCAACCAAGTATTATTCACACTAGGGGATTCACTTTTCTCGCGATATACTTCAACACTCATTACCAATCGTGTTCCAGAAAAATGCGAGTTTTTTCAACATGGAGATTCTCAATGAATTCCAAATTTACAAAATACAAAAATAAAAAACCCAAAAGTCATATTGCAAATATCTAAAAATAGTTTAAAAAATCTCATAGTTGAAAAATACAGAAATTTCAAAGATCTGATAATTCAAGAAAAAATCCAAAAAGAAAAAAACTAAACAAATAAATGTTAAGTCAAATTCTTAAAGCGAATAGCAATCTAACACTTTCTCATTCCTCTCTGTCTAAAATATCGGATTATCTTTGCAATTGTGTCAAGCATACTACACATAAACAGAGAAACAGTCACTAAGACCAAAAAAATGAGTTTTAATTCATTTATGACGCAAATTAAAACAAATCGAAAAAATCTACACCGCACTTTCAGGTAGACAGTGATTTAAATACGTAGGTAGTCGGACACACAGACAAGAATGAAGTGATCTCCGTGCTGTAGAATATAGACGTTCAGTCTAGAGAAAATAACACTCTATTTTTTCAATATTTCGAATTTTTAATTTTTCCATGTACAGTTATCGTCCATTACATTTGCACATCGAATTAGGGTGAAACATCTTTGACCTCCACAACACAGTTTAGCGATGACATAACATTTTTTCGTATAGATCATTTACTTCATCAAAGAGTTCTTGAACAGGTGTGTTTTGAAAAAAAAAGGTCTCGAAAATTGAGATTTTTTCTGGGTCTAAATAAATATGAAAACTTTTCTTTTATGTGGCATTCGACAGAGGACACAAGAATGTATGATTTGAGACAAAAAAACTCAAAATCGGAAAAACTAAATTTTCGGAGTCAAGAGAGGGGGTGTACTTAAATCAACTAACTTATACTAAAACTCATCGAAATCAAGTCTTGTCTCGGTGACTTTTTGGAGATAAATTTCCGCAGACAAATCGTTCGCCATTTGAGAATACATATTTGGAAAGAGCAAACATTTCTCAACAAAGTGGAGTGTTTCAGAAACTTTTAGAACTTAACTTAAAGAATTGGCATGGGAAAAAATGACCAGAACTAGTGGCGTAACCAGGATTGTAACAAGGGGAAGGCTTATAACTTGGCAGACTCTCTGGTGGGGAAGGCTCAGATAGCCGGGCTCTGTCTGTTGAAGGAGCCTGTGGCGAAGTTTAGCTTGCGTGACTTCAATCATTGTGGATAGGGGCTCAAAAATTCAGTAGAGGGGGGGAGGGGAGGGCGTGGACAGCTTTCCTAACCACACTTTGGTTACACCAGTAGCCAGGAAAAATATGCATATCTTTATTGACTAGAAATAATCAGCTGGAACTTTTCCTCTTCAATCGTAAGATTAGAAACGATTATTTTAATTATTGTGTTCCATTTAGTTGCCAAAGAACTTTGCAATATGTCATCTCAACTTTTATATGGAACCGTGTTCAATAACCAAGCGAGTATGTCGCTAGTGTTACCGCAAGACGAATTTTATACGTATTTCATCGACTTGGTCTCTGCTTTTAGATCGTTTACATATTCCAATTCAACATGCAAAAGCTACGGCACGATCCTTGCTGAATCTTTATACACAAGCCGTTAATGCCAACGTACGTATTCTTTTCTCTATTTTCAATTGTCACTGCTAACTTTAAAGAAAAAGGACAACTGTTTCTGTGTTTGAGCGTTTTTTTGAATCCTTTCAAAGTTTGTTTGGTCTATTCTTCGTTTACTTCTGGAAGCGTCTACACATCCACGTTGTCTATTCGTATAGAGCAACAGTCGTCATAGACTCAAAATTTCAGGATACTTCTTTTAGAAAGATATAGACGACGAAACTGGTCAAAAAGCCCTAACTTATTTCTTCAATACCTGACAGAAGACGTTGACCGATTGAGCTGAAACTTTTCTTAAGTGCTTAAGACAATTTGATGGTACTTTTTTAGTTTCTTATTTAAGTCAATTGTTGAGAAAAAAATTGAAATACGAGAAACACCTTGATGAACGCTTGTTTTTTGTGGGACTAATTTTGTAAAACATCTGTAAAAATTCAAAGGAGAAGAATTTTTTAACGCGGAAAAAAAAATCATGCAAAATTGTCTGAAGTGTTTGGGAAAAAAATTGCATCTCTGTAGATCAATGACATCTAGGTTTCACCCAAATATTTCCTCTAAAATTCTAAAACGCATATCAAAAAATACAGAGCTTTGTGGAGGATCGTTTAGCATATTTCAAATTTCGATGAAACTGTTATTAAACAGATTTCAAGTTTTTCGTTTTTCGAACGTCGCAATAGAATGATTTAGGAAGTATTAATCTTTTGAACTTTGCGCCCACAATAAAAACTCTTTTGCAAAACACAGATAATTTTTGTAGTGCGAAGAACGCTCTATCAAATGAGGTTAAAACGAACTTTTATTTATCCTTTAGCTACTCCAAAAAAATAACAAGTGCAACTCATTCTTTATGGGTCACTTGTTTACTTAAAATATTTCACCAGATTTTGCTACGAAAAAAAACTAGTTCACAAGAATATACTTTGAAGAGAAAAGTCTGTTCCATAACCTTATATGCAACTCAAAGTTTGATCCATCATTCTATAGCTATTGTTGTTAAAATTACAAAAGCTATTCATATTTTTTCATTACAAGCTACATCTTTGTTCTATTCAAAGATGCACTTGCCATTCGAAGATGAGAAGAAATAGAAATTTTTGAACATATAATTAGAAAAACTCTTTGAACATTGATTATGAATACGTATTTTTGATTGTGTCGTAAAGCATATCCTCGCAGCAGAGACATGGAACGATATTTGTACAAGAATTTATGCAAGAGCACTTAGTTCAGAGAAATTTTGCTTCTCTAGTGAAAACAAGATGGATCCGAATTCACTTCTAAATAGGCACGTTAATGGAAATGATTAATTATGTTTTTATCATTGACAGATTGCTGCTACTGATTTATTTGATTGTCTTACTGGTTCACCTCTTCGAATGCCCCATGAAATTGCTGATACAATTGTCGATATTTGCCGATCGGCACCGTACTTGAAAACACAATTTATCTCACAATCTGGCCTCTGTATATCATATCCTGATCTCAACGATAACAAGAAACGACAGCGCACATTTGCGCTGATGCAATCATCATTGATCATTGAAGCTACAACTCGTCTCATTGCCTTCTTCTCGAATCGTCAGCTTTATCTACCATCAATCACAAAACTAATTGAAGATTTCATTGTCTGTCTTCCTGTCATCAAAGACAGCAATCATAATCGATCATCGACCAATATATCTGATTTGGTCGAAGAAATGCTCAATCAAACTCGAATTGAACTTGATATCGAAACTATTAATCGGAATTCGTTTATGGAATCTGAACCACTTGATAATCCATCAAACGCACAAACACTTACCAGAAAAATAATTGTTAATAAAAAGGTTAGAAGACTGATCTACTGTAGTCCTATTGAGAACTTTATTTTACAAAGTTTTAAGTCGTAACTCGAGAGTCGATTATTAAGTTGACCTGAGGAGACTACGGTATTTCGCAGAAAAAATACAGTAAACTTTCAATATCTCAGGAACGAAGTCTGAAAAATCAAACCATTCTACATATTTTCATTTCTCACTAGGATTTATCAAATGGACATCGTCTCGACCAAAAAAGCTATTTGACAATTCGAAAGAATTCCTCGTAAGATGCTGAAAATTGAAAAAAGAGTCGATTTTATTTTACTTATATTTATACCTCGTGCGACAGAGCTCGTCGAATTGCATAGGGAACATACTCTCGAGAAATATTTAGAAATCATTTTTTAGGAAAAGTTTCAAAATAATGTTTATTTTGACAATATGCAAAAGTGAATAAAGTTTTAAATGACAAGCCAAACTTGCATGTATCTTGTCGTTTCAAGGTTCAATAGTCTGCAAAGAAATTATCATAACTCGGTCAAGTTACAATCTATTGACCTGAAACTTTCACCAGAGAATCATCAGCAAATAAAAACTCAACTTTATAAGTTTCAGCATCGCAGCCCAAAGTAGTCATGTATAGTAAGTGTCCCTAGTAACGAAAGGGAAAAATACAATTATTTTCAATAACCACTGTGCAGTTATTTAGTAGTTGATGCAAAGAATTTCTAGGCATTCAAAATCCTTTATTTCAAGCAAGCTAAACAATCTAAGAATGCATTTTTTTGTTGAGAAACGCCTGAAAAACGAACAGTCTACGACAAATGCCTCAGTCTGTCGTTATTACGAACAATATCCCTAATAACGATCGTAAGCTAACATGTTGCCTCTAATAACGAAGGACAAGCGCGGAACAAGCAAAAATTTTTTTGCTTGTTCTGTGTTAGCGAGTCTTTATTGGGAACATATTTCGGCTTGCCGTTTATTATATAGGTAACATCTTGATTAACAACGGATCATGCTTTTGTTTACGCGTTCTAGTTTACCAAAAAGACAATCCCTTTCCATCAATCGCATATTTTATATACAATTTGATGATATCTACAAAATCATTAGCAAAAAATGATCTCTATATTGTACAGAAGCAGTAAAATAAGACATTTTTTCGGATAAAACGCATTATTTTGCTTGTTCTGCGCTTGTCCGTCGTTATTAAAGACAACATGTTGGCTTGCCATCCTTATTAGGGACATTACTCATAATAACGACAGGCTGAGGTATTTTATCGTAGACTGCTGATTTCTCAGGCTTTGCTCGTTCAAAAAATTCATTCTTAGATTGTTTGACTAGCTACAGATAAAAACTGTTGAATATGTAGAAATACTTTGTATAAAATGCTAAATAGCTGCACAGTAGTTCTTGGAAGTGATTGCATTTTTTCCATCGTTATTAGAAATATTCCCTATATCAGATGAGTTGGTCAGAGTGTAGTATGTCAATTTCGTCATAGTCTGAAAATTACTACGATTTCATTAAGATTTTTTGAAGATAGCAGAAAATTTGAGCATTCAAAAACAACAGAAAGTTTGAGATTCTGTCGCGCAAGATAATCGAAATCTAGCAAAGTCTGGTTCCAAGTAACTTACTACTGAAGCCATGCGCTAAATCTATTAGTTTTAGATATTTTGACCATAAGCTTTCCTCCGATTAAATCCAAACCTGTATCGTATGTATAACAGAGCTCGGACGCAAGTATTTTTACTTGTACTTTTTGTACTTTTTCAAGTAAAAGTAAAAGTACAAGTACTCATCATTTGTAATTGGTACTTATACTTGTGCTTTGAGAAAAGTACTTTTTACTTGTATTTGTACTTGTACTTTGGGAAAAGTAGTTAGTAGTTATGTCGGGCGAATCTTAATGATTGCAACACCTAATATTTTGCAAGTGCCTCAGCACAGATAAATCGTATAGTTCTGCTTTTTTTTTAAAGATGCCCGTGAAAAGTGTGATGGTGAGATGGCCCATTATTTTGAGAGAAGTAAAAATGAAAACAATGCTAAAAAATATTATTTATTGTAAAAATGAAACTGAAAATTTCGAGAAACTGATTACAGATTCGGACTCCTCGACATCGAAATCTTTTCGTCAAACTTTATATAAAAATTGTCGGTTTGAAAGAACGGGTTTTGTTTTGATAAACTCGCAAAATTTCCGTTACCTCATTACTTGATAACTGTAACCTTCCTCTCCTAGTGATAATATCATGAAAAGTTCTGTTTGAAATAAGAAGAAGACTATTTTTTAGTATTATTCTTTTTTACTTCTCTCAGAATGATGGGCCATGCCACCATCACACATTATTTCACTTTTAGTCTAATGAAAAGTCATCAAACTTACTTATTAGGATTCCTCATTACTATTCTTGCGGAGAATTTCACGGACATCTTTCAAAAAGAAGCAACATTGTATCATTTATCTATGCTAAGACATTTGCAGAATACTAGATGTTGCAATCATTAAGACTCACCCGACATAAGTACTAAGTACCTTTCCCAAACTACAAGTATAAGTACCAAGTACTTGTTTTAAAGTACAAGTATAGCGGAAGTATACTTGTGCAAAGACACGTAAAAGTACAAGTAAAATACTTTTACCTGCTGTACTTGTACTCGTCCTACCTCTGATGTATAGTAGCTCCATAAAAGTTCGTCTAAAGTGAAAGAAAAAAGTTTATGGCATCTCTTGTTTTCTAACTTTTCGTATGCATAGACTTCGATAATGTCAGATGGAGGAGCCTGTATAATTATAGTCAAATATGAAACATTTCACTTGATCGAAACCGAATGAGGACATCTCATAGAACGCTAATTTTGACTTTCTTTTCATCTTTCCTTCTAGTGGTCTGACAAGGCCCTTACAGCAAATGAGGATCAAACAGAAGCACATAATCTTGTCGCATTCGCTAAGATGCTTCACGAATGTGGTCATATATTCACGCCATTCATAATGTCTCGACTAGGATTCGATGTTGATCCATCCACGTGAGTGTCGTTTTCCTATCTGTTTGTTCAACATTTATGTACTTGATTTTAGAAACATTTTTGTTACACCAACAGAAATTGGCACGCACGAGAAAAACTCATTGATGAAAGGTGATGCTGGTTTTGCACTCGAGCAGCACGTCATGGGTGGACGAATATATGTGATAAGCAAATCAATGCGACACATATTTAATGTGAGTTTACCTGTTTTCTATCGAGAAGCACTTGTCTTGTAAACATTGTTTTTCTTTCGAATTGTTTGCGTAATGCTTTCATGTGGATTAACATGAATGGAGAGACAATAAAATATCATTAGTCATCATTTGTTCTTTGATTTTTTAAATCGTTTTCATCTTTCCTTCATTTCAAATAGGTCAGATATCTGGTTCAAATTCCGATATCAATATAGGATAAAAACCTCTCACAGTAGTCAACAATGGCTATAAGTGTAAAAAGGAGAGAAAGAACGGTATCAAAGATATCGATACTTACAAGTAGAAATGAACAAAATTGAGGTCCTTCGGTCCCATTAAAATGAGCTTTTGTTGAAAGAGATTCGAGAAGTTCGTGAAAGTGTTCATCTTGCGAGAATACATGAAAGAAGCCGTTTCAAAAACTCAGTTCTCTCAAAGTTATCATTTTCATGGGATCGACTTTTCTAAAGCTAGTCTCTCTCGTCTCTACTTATGAGGAAAGCGTTCGCGGTGTTTTCTTGGTTTAGGGTCCATATTTTGCTCCGTAAGTAGTTATAACGATTTCTAGGATACATCGAAAATTTCAAGTAAAGCAGATGCTTCCTTTCAGATACATTCAATTTTCTGGAAAACCAGATTTTTTGATAAAATATGTGTTATTTTTTCAAAACTGGATATATCCGGATGGAAGTATCCACTTTCATTTTGACTCAAGCTCTTCATGCATCCTAACAATCATTATACCTTCTTAATAGACACAATTTCAGATCGAAAGTCGATCATTCGATTTTTTGGCAATTATTGCAATGTACAACGCATTAAACTTAAGTACATCAGATATCTAATTTTGTTCCGTGAAAAAATCAATGCCCTCTCTTTTAACTATAGTCCATCTTATGAAAAACGTTTTCTCCTTGGGCACCACAAGACTAATTGCTAAAAGTGAGGTGATACTCATGATCCATACGATTGACTTCATATGTCAAGATGGCTTTGAGAGGAAAAAATTTTTCGCTGGATCATAGAAGTGAATACAGCCATTGAAAACTGACTCTGAGACAAAGCAAAACCGATCGGTGGGTAATGGTCACGATTAAACTCGGAGTTGAATGAGATATAGAAATCTACGAAATATTTTTCGCCAGAAACATGCTTAAATCATTTAGTTTCTTTTCGATTATATACATGCATGAATCGACATGGATTTAAAACAATCACTTCGTAATTATGTGAGAAAGTAAATTTTGCTACATAACATCACCAAATCGTTTATGCATTTCTTTTTGCGCATACGTTGATGATGAAAGATCATCGATGATGCATATTTTCTTCCTGAACATGGAAATGTATATCACTCTGATTTTCTTTCTCTTTAATACAGATCAAAGCGGCGACGATCTCAAATGATGCATCATTGGGCAGCAATGTTCAACACTACTACTTGATACGAAACTGTCGAGTGCGTCAATATACGGCGGCCTTCATTCAAAGTGAGTTATTTTTGCTATTTTCTCAACCATTTTTACTCCAAAAAAACAATACTTTAGAATGACGATCTGAGACTAAGTATTCACCTACTTTGAAAGATATCTTTTTTTATGCAATCCAAAAAGTCAAAAAGCAGAAAAACATTAGTTTGAATTTCTCAGTTTCGTCGAATGATTATTTTTCTTTCTCATTTGGTCAAGATAAGCTACACTGACTTTGATAGTCAAAATAAGTCACATTAACTTTTACTTGTGCTGCAAACATTGCTATTGATTAGTGTAGCGCGCCTGCGTTTTCTGCAAAGACGTTTTTTATCGATTTTCAATAGCTTTCTTACAATTTCTCCAGCCATTTTTGACAAAGATAATGTAGTCCATTTTGTGTGCGGCTTTGTAGTACATCGAAATGGTAGCTTGCCAAACAGCTATATGTATACAGTTCGATGCAGTTTTTCATGCTGATTTCAAATGTGACCTGAACAATGAGAAAAAGCTTGAATGCCATATTGAAAATGGCTAAATACTTTAAAAAAAAACACCATTGTATGACCGTCATTGTCTTTTATAATAGGTTCCAAAAAAATTTTCCACGAGTCCTGAAGGTACCACGAAGGTCAAAATGGTCATCAGGAAATGACACAAAACTAAATGCTGGAAAACACTCCTCCCAATCTTTAGCACCTCTCAGATGGAAAGAGTCAAAATAATCATGGGCAAGAAAACGGTCTTAGTGGCACACTTTTTTTTTACATTCAGTATTTTGTCTGTTTTCGTCCTCAAAATTAATGAACTTCTAATGTTTGTCGCTTGAATGATATCAAAAGACTAACAATTGAGCAATTTAAGTTAATTTTTTGTTATTTCCGAATTGTCGAGATGTCTACACTATTTATTTTTATTTTAAAAAATTCAACTTATTTTGTAAGCCTAACTAATATCGGTTTCAAAATAAAAGAAGGGTGAGTATTTTTAGAATAACTTTTCACAGGAACAAGATAGAGAGCTGTGGTTTTCACCGCTGAAAAGAGACGATGAAACTGCATTGATTTGTATATTTCAGATTTCTTCTGACAAGTATTTTAAGGATTCCTCAACAAGTTTTCAAAAGACCAAACGTTACATAATGTGAATATTATGGACTTTTAATTTTCAGAAGGGCACTAGAATCACTAACTAAAGATCTATCAGCTAAACAAGCCCGACGTTATTATGTTTAGCTAATCATGAGTTATGAACACATTATTTGTGTTTTCGGTCGATTTTTAGCGAAAAAATCGCTTTTTTTCCTTAGTTTTTAATAAAAAATCAATTTTTTCCACGTCTAAAATCTTTACTTTTTTAAAAACTTCGTGAAAAAACCTTTAAAATACTTTTCAAAAAAAACCTGAAACACACGAATCGATACAGTTTCATCGCCTCTTTCCAACGGTGAAAACCGCAGCTCTCTATCTTGTTCCTACGAAAAGTTATTCTAAAAATACTCACCCTTCTTTTATTTTGAAACCGATATTAGTCAGCTACTTCCGATATCAAAGAGATGATGAAATTGCAAAATGTTTTTCAGACTGCCCAACACTCAGTGAATTTCGAATTGAATCAACATCCGCTGATCGATACAGTTTGGCCAACCCACAAAATCTGCATCGAATGCTCAAGGAAGAGAATGATGGTCGAAGTCCATTAACCTCTTCATCATCAACATCATCGTCGACAGCATCAACACCTTTACAAAAGAAACGTCGAACATCGATGGCTCGGGTTGAAATGGACACACCGTTTAACACTTGTGAAGACGAGCCAAGCCGTCCAAGACAATTATCATCATCGTCTTCTTCATCAATCGACAGCGAAGACGATAGAGAGTTCGTCGTCAATGAAATGTGTTCTCACCATGACAACAAGTAGTCGAATTGTTCGACAATTTTTTTTTGTTCTTTTTTTTTCTTGTTCTTTACTTATTTTTTCTTCTTTATTTTCTATTGTTGTAAGGTGCCCGCAACTCGAAATTTCAGTCAGGTTTTTCTTTTCTTTTTTTTGTATCTGGCTCGATAGAGCTTGAGATCCTGATTAGGAAAAAGGCTTTTGACTTTTATAAATTGTTTTTTCAGGTCGAAAAAATTCGAAAACTGAAAACGGTGTTTTTTTTGCAAAAAACAACTTCGTCTCAGTTTTTTTATTTTTTTGTCGACCTGAAAAAACTATTTACATAAGTTAAAAACCTTTTTTCTTAATCAGGATCCCAAACTCTATCGAACCAGATATAAAAAAAGAGAAAAGAAAAGCCTGACTGGAATTTCGAGTTGCAGACACCTTATGTGTTGTGTGTTTGAAAGGCGGCCTTATCTTTATTCTTGCCATTTTGTTAAAAAGATGCATTCACATACAGATTCTGAGTTGAACATCTGGTTCTTTTTCATTCTAATTTGGTACCAAACAAATTGTTTTGAAACAGAATATCAATTATAGAGGTCGTGAAGACGTCGTCAACATGAAATACTTCGATGGGTGTAGGTGTGGGTCTTCTGTTTAGCCACGCCCAATGTTAAAAAACCAATTGATTTTTAGATATGGTCAGAAAATTAGCAAGTCTTTAGACGATAGATATTTCTAAAATGAAGCAATCGTTTAGAATGAAACTTTTAGGATAATGACATCTATTTATATATAAAATTTCTAGTTGAAAGTTCTTTCTTCGATTTTTCTTCTAATACCCAGTTCGATGATAAAAATCTAACAAAAGTGTCCTCGTTTTCTAGAAAAGATCTATCGTTGCGAATCCTCTCGGAGGTATTCTAGTATAGAAGTCTTCTCAATATGATCAAAATATGAGTTCAAGAGTAATGAATCACTTCGTGCAGTTCTCCTCGTTAGCTAAAATAAATATGACTGTGCCGTTTAAGGACAAATGGAATTATCTACGTTTTATTTTGAAGGTACAGCTTGCAATGAAATATGTCTACAATTGAGACAGCATGAAAATGTATTGATCGAACTCGCTGTCTTAGGTAATTGCAAGGAAAACATTAGTTTCAGTCATGAAATCAGAGAGAATATAATTTATGATTATCGGAAATTTCATGCTTGTTGCTCGTTGAATACTTCTTAACAGATTGAACGGTTTGAAACTGCAAACTAGAAAAACGAAAATTTCCTGACAACGAGAAAAATTGTATCATGGCACTGACAGCACTTTAGCTCAAGGAGATCACTAAAAACACACAATTATTGAAATATGCTATAAGAAGCAGAGGGTATGTTATTAGTGCACTTCTAGGTTTTTTCATTTATAAAACTACAAAATTCAACTTGTTTGGAATTTTCATAAAACTAACGTTTTGACAAAAACATTCAATTCTTCTCGAACATGTTACTACTAGGTCATGTGAAGTGATCCAAACACGCTAGCTAAAAATATGTGGCTCACTTCACATAGACAAAATATTGCAATAAGATACGACTAAAGGGATCGCGACTAAAGGACGACAAGCTCAGCACCCTATAGTGGACCCATAGGCCTTCAGGGGCTACCCTATAGAGGTACCCATAGGTTCCCAAGAGCTACCCTATAAGGGTACCTATAGGTCCCCAAGGGGTGTTCAAACATTGTCTTTTTCCCATAATGATCATTTTCATTAATGAAAAATCATTTCGAAAAAATGACAGTCCTATTTATTATTCAATAAAATCGTTTCTATTAGATTTGAATAAATCGATGAGACATTTTAATTTATTATAAAATATTTTTTCTTCAAAATCTATTTTATAATAATGATCTTCTTTTTCAAATGAAAAATCAGATGAATTAGTTTGATCATTTGAAATTCTATCTTTATTTCTTTGAATGAGATTGTATTTTCATTATTTTTATTGAAATTCTGATTATATGAGCATTATCTATTAAATCAAAACTCCAATTTTGAAATGTGATCATCATTCCAATTATTTAACAAAACACAAAATTCTTATATTGATATTCTCAAATATTGAAGAAATTTTTTCAAAGAAAACTCGTTAATTTTTATTTAAAAATTTTTATTTTCTTAACTATACAAAGAAAAATATTTCAATACAAGAACAAAAATCATTCTGAATGAATCGAAACATTTATTTTATTTTCATAAAAAAACTAAAATTTTTATTCCTTTCTGTGTCTAGTTAATGTATGACAGTAATATAATGATTATTTTATTCATCTAATTAGGTTTGAGAAAATAATCGATGACATAAACATATTTCATGTTTTCTTTTAATTATAATACTATTTGTGATATTAATCAAAATAAAAGAAATATTTATTTCATTTATCATTATTCTTTTTATTATTCTTTAATTCTTTCTACGTAATTGTAATGTTTCACAAAAAAAAATTTATTTTAATCAAATAATTATTATTATTTCTAACATTTTATATTTATCAAAATTGTTACATTGAAATTGCTTCGATATACATTAGGAATTCAATACTGATATATAAAAAAAAAATTTTATATATATATTTTAAATATAAAAAAATGTTAAAAGAAAAGACAATGCAAAGAATAAATGATTTCGAAAATAAATCTTTGAATAGTATAATACATTATCATTATCTTGTTGATTAATTGTAATTATTGTCTACAATGTAATAAATTTTTTATAAAAACAAAAAAATGAATATTAATGTCATAGAATAGATTGAATGAGTATGAAAGTTGATAGAATAAATGAAATCAAATAAGAGAATTGAAAAGATCCTAACAAGAATAATTAAAATATTCAATGTCTAGATTTTATTTATAATCAAAAAGTAGTCTGTTTTTTTTTTTATTTTTTCTTTAAAAGATTATAAATAAGTATTTATCAAAGTTTGGAATAATGTTTTATAGATATTCAAAGTTTCAAAAAAAAAATTATTATTATGAAAATTAAACAACTATAAAATGGACTTATTTGGATTTTCTAAACAGAATCTGCTCTTGACATATGTTGAAAATTTTGATTTTTCCAAATATATTCAAAAAATGAGAATAAATAAAATATACCAGAGAAACAAAAACAAACTTTTATTGTATAGAGATTATAGAAAAGTAAAACTAATAACAATAAGAAGTTGAAATATGTATGAATTTATTGTATTTATTTGAAAATCACAAAACTATTTTTTTCTTTAATCAATAAAAAATGTTACTCATTGGTTAATTCTTGCATAAATTATTTGATCAATTTCATCCTCAACAGACCTTGGAAAAACCTTCTACATTTAGATTAAGGTCACGTCTGAAATTTTCATTGACCAAAATAAACACATTATCAATGTCACTCAAGTTATATAAGAATAAAATTCATTACTATACTCATCAACATCATTTGAGTTGTACTCAAGAAGATATTAAAATATCGATTATCCTTATTTAATCAAAATTTATTTATATTAAGTAGATAATCATTAATTATTAGATGTAAATACTATTTGACTGACCTTGAATGAAATACAGGGTTGATCGAGTCAAACCATTTTTCGAGTCGAATCGAATCGAATCCGAATCATTTCGAAATGGTTTCGAGTTGAGTCAAGTTGATTCACCATGGTTTCCTAGTCGAGTCAAGTAAAGTCAAGATATTTTATGTAATTTTTTTCGTTTTCTGTTTGTTTCTCTAAAGAACCGTAACAATAAGTTTTTCATGACATGTCTTCTAGCTCCTAATTTTTCTATACAAAAAAAAATCGAATAGTTATAATCCTTTGTCCCAATAATAGAAGCGTTCAATGCTTTTAAACTGTATAAGCGTTGAAATTTTGGGAAAGAGCCTCCGTTAAGTCTCAACATTTTGCAAAGATTTAAGATTCAAAAATTGTTTAAAAGAGTTGTGAAATTTCCAGAGTTTTTGAAGGCTATACGAAGAATTTTCATAAGTAGTTCAAGCTTTCTATGCTAACAAGTAAGAGTTAAATAAGTTTTTATCTTAAAACATTGAAAAATTGATAGTTTTACTATGAAATTAATGATAAAAGTTTTCAAAAAATTTGAGAAAGTTTTTAAAAAGAGGGGCTTATACTATGTCTAACTCATTGATCCCAGTCAGGGAAGCTTTTAATATGGAGAGAGGGAATTGTACACAAGATAAAATGACATAACTGTTATAGATTTAACAACACAACAAGAACATTAAAATCAACTCTTCTTTTTAATAGAATCGTATACCAAAATAACAAAAATATTGTTGGGTGTGGGTGTGGGTGTGTGTGGTGTGGGTGTAACCACTAACAGAGCAACACCCACTCCCACCCCCACCCTTCATGAAAATAAATTTATGGACTTGCTTGTTCATGAAAATACTTTCGAATAACGTTTTATGATGTCGACGCACAAGAATTGGTCGTCACATAAATCACAGTCTGAATAGATGAAAAGAAATCCTCTGCCTATTCAATGAAAAATTGAGTGCTGGTTTTTCAATTACAGTGATGTATTATACTTGATTTTTAAATATGAGAATCATTTCGTCATTTCACGTCTAATGAAAAAACCAATTCTGCCTAAGTTTAATATTGTCTAATATATATATATAGGTAATTCACATTTCGATCACTCGTCACACGCATCCTTGGCTTTTTAATGTATACGTGAGTTTGATTGTTTTGCCATACACAGTAGTTGAGCTGTAAAAAGAAATTTCTCATACTCTACCATATCGTATGTTTTAATCAATTACTTAAAAACTGTTATTTTTGCCTTTGTATCTCATCGATTTTTTGCACTGGTATCCGATGTTTAAAAAATAGATGAGTTAAGAAAGATTATCTTATTCGCTGTGCACTATTCGTGATATTTTAATTGAAAAGAAAGCGAAACAAAAATAAGTGGTGTTGCCATCAAATTTCCTTCTTATCTGAATGATGATTGAGTTACATTGAAAGATGTTTTGTGCTTACGTAGGTAGGATAAGCTATTTAATACCATAAAAGTGTTAGAAAATGGCAATTGTAATATTTTCACTGTATAAATTACAACTTTCCCTTCTTCTCTACACTAGTAGCGATCGCAATTGATACTCAAAAAGCATTAGTCTCTAGTTCGAGTCACCGAATAATTTCAGAAAATGTATACTGTCTTATACCTTACATTGATTTTAACGACAGGTAATGTTGAGGATACGCAGAATTCTCCACAAATAGAATTGAAGAATTGTGTTTTATGTGTTCGCATTATTATCACTCTACGTAGGGCAAATCAGATTTCGACAAATAATTCTTACGGCTGTAGCAACAACAACGGATACAGCTTCCAATGAATTGGTCAAGTCTCGAATAGAAAATGGTCGTTTCATTAATTCATTCAATCCGCAATATAAATCGCCCAATCTAGGCCTTGTTTTTATCTGGAAGATCACTTCACGGGACAATACACGATTGCCGTCTAATAAAAAAGAACTTGATAAAATGTTACCCGTTATTCGACATGAGAAATCCGAAGAACTATATTTAACAAAACTCGGTCTACGATTTATCTGGATTGGACATGCTTCATGTTTTGTTCAAATGAACAATTTTCGATTTCTTGTCGATCCAGTTTTCAGGTAGATACTTATTCTCTCTCTCTCTCTCCTGTTCTTTTGAAAAAATTGAATAATTTTAGTGAACGTTGTGGTGTGGCATCATTTATCGGACCGAAACGTTTCCGCCCACCGGCATTAATAATAAATGATTTACCCGATGATCTTGATGCTATACTTATTTCACATAATCATTTTGATCATCTCGATTATTCTAGCGTAAAAGAATTAAATAAACTTTATGGTGAACGACTAACTTGGTTCTGTGGTCGAGGTACTCGACAATGGTTTCTTGATAATAATGTAAAAAATGTTGTCGAGCTCGATTGGTGGGAAGAGTATCATTTTTCGGTAATAAAATATTCATTCTGAAAACTTCTTTGCATGATATATAGATATCTTTGATTTTTGTTTTAGAAAAAAGAAGTGAACATTGCATTTTGTCCAGCTCAACACTGGTAATGTTCAATGGTTTTTTTTCTTATTAATGCAATATTTTCTACTCTAGGAGTGGTCGTACTGCATTCGACACAAACAAATCTTTGTGGGGCAGTTATGCTGTCTGGGATGCTACACACAAATTTTACTTTGCTGGCGATACAGGTTATACTCATAATATTTCAATTTTTCGACAAATTGGCGAAAAATATGGCCCATTCAACTTAAGTGCTATACCGATCGGTAATTACGAACCACAATGGATAAAGCAAGCTCATCATGTGTCACCAGATGAAGCTGTTCAGATGCATATTGATGTTCAATCAAAAAAATCGATTGGCATTCATTGGGGTACATGGGGATTTGGAAATGAATATTTTATGGAACCACCTGAGAAACTTTCTAAAGCAGTTAAAATCAATCAACTCGATCCGTCATCATTTATTGTAGTTAAACATGGTGAAATTTTTGATTTACCCTAGTAATACTAATTCATCATACTTAACTTTTTGTTCTTTACTGGTTGTAATGTCCAGCATTTTAACCCTTTGAGTCCCGGTGGTACATATATGAACCACCTAGCGAAAATTTCTAATTTTCAAAAATTTTCAAATATGTTTGTGGTTTTTAAGATCTAGAAGGAAGATTTTTAACAAATGTTCGTAGTTAAGACATATTTGTGCGAGATTGTACAGATATCCGTATGAATAGACAATGCCGAAAAGTGGACTGTGGTATGTCTATTTGATTTCAGAAAGTTTTCTTCAAAAATCTAAATTTTGAAAAATTCATGTTTTGATTCATTGTGTCGTGATGAAAACCTAACTGTTTTATAAAATATAATGGATTCAGATTCTGACGAAACCTTATCCGATGAAAATGAAAGTTCAATTAGTTTTGATGAACTTGAAAGTAGTGGTTCCGAAGATAATGTTTCATTAATCGAAGAACTCAACCAAAGTTCAATGGATGATTGGGAATGGAAAGTTGACAACTCAAGTTTTTCTACTTCTTTCAATTATTTTGATGGACATGCATTAGGAAACAATATAATTCGACCAATAGATTCATTTTTCCCGTTTATATCCCAAGATTTGATCAAATTAATTACTAATCAAACCAACATTTATGGCAAACAACGTTATGTTCAAAAAGGTGAAGATGCAACAAGTTGGAAAGAAGTTGATGAAAATCTAATACATGCATTTCTCGGTATTTTATTTATCATGGGATTTCACAAGCTGCCAAGAATTCGAGATTATTGAAGTCAAGACAGAAATCTTTATACACCAGCTGTTGCCAACACAATGACAACCCATGTAAACACGAAACGCAAAATCGATGCGTTGAAACGCGGTTTCACAAGAAAACGCGTCCAGACGCGGTTAAAAACGGTTTCACGACGCATTCAAACGCATTTTCAATATTAAACGCGTTGGGATGCAGTTAGAAAAATTTTGAAACGCGTTTGAACGCCGTTCTTTGTACACAATGCGTTGAAACGCAATTGTAAAAAAAATATTAACAGCTTCTCAACGCGTTTCATATCGAAATCGCGTTTATACAAGTTTAATAAAAATTTGACTAAACGCGTTCAAACGCGGTGTAATATGAGACGCGTTGACATGCTGTTAGAAAAATTTTCGAAACGCGTCTGGACGCAGATTTTCTGTGCAATGCGTTTAAACGCAATCAGAAAAAAATTAACCGCATCTCAACACGTTTTGGAAAAACATTTAACGCGTTTAAATGCATTTTGTTTACTAACTGCGTTCAAACGCGTCTCAAATATTTTTTCAATCACGTTGGCATGCAATCATATTTCCGAGCACATTTGTACTCATTTATTTCTTTTGTATCAGACGCAATTCCACCTCAAAAATTACTGCTCTAAAAGAGTTAATGGCGTGATCGAAATCATCGGTTTACATATATTTTATTCGTCTAAACTTCGTTAGACTTTTTAATAAAGAATGCCCAGATGATGTTAAACTTAAAATAGACAAAAATTCAATTAAAGATACGGCAAATAGTCCATATTTCTCTATAGTTTGTATGAATAATAATGAGACAATATTGTAATAGTTTTCAGCTATCCAATGTCCTTCTAGCAAGCTTCTCAATACTACTATTTAAATAATATGATTAATAACTTGTCATCATATATTCCCAATAAATAGATTGTATGAATAATTATTTATTCATTAAATTCTTCGATAAAATTATTTAGTATGTTATCAGTACAATAAAAAATCGAAACACTAATTATGTGTAGTAGACGATAGAAAAAAAGATATTATTTTATTAAAAAAAAATAAAATTATTTAAAAAAAATAAGTGAATAAACATGTTCTGTGTTAAATATCTTAACTTCGAAAAAAGTACATCTTATTGAAATAGAGTATTTAACCGATGAAATTCGCGTTCAAATATATTCTAGTTTGAATGAGAAAAGAATTCGAGCTAGTATAGCTCAGTGGTGTGGATGAACGACTTCTGATAGCTGGTTCATCTGTTCAAATCTGATCGTTATCACTTAAGGTAAAATTTAATCCATTTGCCAAGGTTGGCTAAGACCATCGAAAAATGTTGATGATGGCAACTCAGTTCGAATCTGAGATGGATTATCATATATTTTTCAAAATTTTTAGATTTTGTATGAAACGCGTCACAGATGAAACATTTGAAGCGTCTGAACGCGTTTTTGTAAAAAAACGCGTCTGAACGCAAGTCAAACGACGAACGCATTCACACGCGTTTCAGACGCGTTTTGAGGGAAAAAATATTTACATGGGAAGAAACGACTTCCAACGACTCTTTTCGAACATTCATCTTGCTGATAATTCAAAAATGTCCTCGAAAAACTCTTCTAATTATAATAAATTGTATAAAATAAATGATTTTCTCAATATTTTGAAAAGAAATTTTCAGAAAAACTGCTCACTTGGATCATGCATTTCCATAGATGAGGCGATGATAAAGTTCAAGGGTAGATCATCCATAAAACCGTATCAACCAAGGAAACCAACTAAGAGGGGATATAAGTTATGGGTCTTGGCCGAATCGAGTACAGGATATGTGTATAACTTAGAGATTTATACCGGAAAAAATACAGAACGATGTGTGTCATTAGGAGAGCATGTAGTCAGGTCATTAGTAAATGTGATAGGAATGAAGAATCGTCAATTATTTTTTGATAGTTATTTTACTTCCTTACAATTACTTTACAAGCTGAGGAGAAACAAAATTTCAGCTACTGGTACAATTCGTTCCGATAGAAAACATTTTCCAACTGAATTGAAGAAAGGAGAAAAACTTGAGAGAGGCGATTATCGATATCTAACATCCAATGGGGTTTCTGTAATAAAATGGATGGACAAGAAAGAAGTTCTTATTGCATCAAACTACTTTGATCCTGCAGTTGAGGGTGAAGTTAGTCGACGAGATAAAGATGGAAGTAGGAAGCAAATTTCTTGTCCATTAGCAATTGTTCAGTATAATAAATACATGAGAGTCGTGGATTTATCTGATCAAAAAATAAAGTATTATACAATTGATCGAAAGTCAAAGAGAAACTGGATAAGAATATTTTTTCATTTCCTTAGCATGTCGTTGGTAAATTCATTTATCTATTATAAACATCTTTCTAATAGTAATATTAGTACAGTAGAATAAATGTCATCTAGTAGCACTGCACTGATAGGTAATTATTGTAGTAGAAAAAGGCTAGGAAGACCTTTGGCAATGAGTAATCAGAAGAAAGTGCGCATCGAAGAGAGCATTAGTGACGCAGAAAATCCTGAAAAACCACAACTGTTAGCTCATATGCCAGAAGTTATTTCAGCCCGTCGTAGATGTCCTTATTGTAGTACGAAAGAAAAACAAAAAACGACGGATGTGATATCTACTTTTTGTGATGTTGGTTCATGTGTGAAAATTTGTTTTTCTTTGTGTCATCAAAACTATGTGTATCAACATTGAAATGAATAAATAGATAATCATATAATCACACAGTTTTTTATTTTAACCTAACCAGAGGATGGGTGGGTGTGGGTGTGGGTGTGGGTGTGGGTGGGGTGTGGGTGTGGGTGTGGATGGGTGGTGGGTGTGGGTGTGGGGGTGGGCGTGTGGGTGTGGCTTCCTAGTGGACACGTATCGACACTCACACCCACAACTACACCCACACCCCCACACCCACCCGCCACCCACACCCGCACCCACACCCATACCCACACCCACACCAACACCCCACACCCACACCCCACACCCACACCCTATCTGAATCAAGTAAACTACGCTGTTTATTGGCAATCTGTTCAGCAATGGAAAAGTGACGCTCACTTTCAAATAACGAAAACTGATTTGGTAATTTGAGCAAGCATGTTGAGAATATCCTTCTGGATCTTCCAAAATGAAAGAGGATTGTTGTCGTAGCTGGAATCAAATTAAAGATTTTCGCAGACTTGCATTTTACGATCGAGCTTGACTGAGCAAACGCGTTGGCTTGAATTCGCAAACAGATCTTGCTTGAGTCACTTCGAGGGAATGTGGTTTTCGGCTCACAAATGTCAGTAGGTAGTTTTTTGATGATTAAAATCATGTAATAGAAGCAGAAAATTTCACAGCGATGAACTGACAAAAGTCCGGTTCCGTTCGGTGTTGTCCAGTCTGGTCCGGCCGGACCAGTTCCAACTCTGATGTGGGTATGCACGTAAGTAAAGAGAAGATCCATAAACACACCCACATTCTCATTCTATTTTTCTTGAGTAATCAGACTTTTATTGACATCTATAGTCTTTTTTTTTCGAAACATAAAATTAAGAATGTTATTTTATATGATATTATTTGTTAATTCAATAAATGAAATAGAACGACTTGGCAAATCGAAGGAAGTTAATTTTAATTGATTATTTTCAACTTTATATTCAACTGATTCTTTTCAATAATTTTATTTGTTGACTATGTTTCAAATGTTCTAATTGATCTGCATTTAATTCATCTGATTTTCCAATCTTAATCCATTCTGCGTATGTATTACTATGACTTAAATCAATTCTATAATGTTTCAGTAGAAGATTTTGTAATGGAATATTTATAAAAGTAATGTTGATCGATTGAATATCTTCGTCATATGTCCAATCATCAACATGACAAAATAATAATAATAATTGAAAACTTTTATTCCCACCGTCACATGTTACGATACCAAAAATCGGTAATTGTGTTTAATTTATTTCTATAAATAATAGTTTATATTTTAATTTCCCAAATAATTTCAAATCAGATAAAATAGGTAAATGTAATTTATAGTTTGTCATAAGAGTGCGATTACCTTCAAATAATCTTTTTCCTTCCATATAAAATGACCAATGTATTATTAGTTGAATTCGACTAGATAAAGATAATATATGAAACATCATGGATGCAACAATACAAGGATAATATTCTGTATTATATATGATATAATTAGAATTATCGTAAACACCATGAGTTGTATCAACAGCAGGATCACATTCATCAATAAAGATTGGTAAATGGTTCAATTGTTCAAATTCATTATAAATCATCAAGTTATTACGAATATCATTGAGAATCTTTGAAAGACTCGATGATTGACGACTAGCTTTGTGACCATAACATCTTCAAAAACCATAATAGACACATTTATGTAAATGAAAATAAGACTTATCCTATAGCTGAGAATTCAAAGTCAAATACTCTGTGTAAACATATCACTTCCTAAGAATTTTTGCAGTTCGAAACTAGGATGTGGATCTATGCGCGATTGTGGGTGCCGGTATGGGTGTGGATGTGAATGTGTGCCCTGTATTCAACTACACCCTACCCATGCCCACACCCAGCCTTTTTTAAGTTTAATTGCATATAAAACATTAATTTCTAGCGATTGACAAACATCACATATTTATTATACAGTTTTCTTAAATAAAAATTTTTTTGATGTCAAACTCTATAACTTTTACCTTCATTTCTCATACTATTTGCCTTATTAACTAATGACATTCTACTCATGGGTTCGATTAAGATAGAACTGCGATGCAGTTGCAAAAAGAGTCAATATAGGTGAGATTTTCATTTAATTGATATTTTTATTATGAATTTTAAAAAATTTTTAAAATACAAAAAAAATTTAAAAAAAAACAAATAAAAAAATTCTGAAAAAATAAAAAAAGTTAAAATCCTGAAAAATTAAATAGAAATTAAAAAAATTTTACTCGGAATACATATTCCATCTGTTATAATGGAATGAATTATGAATCGAAATCTCACAAAGGCTCACTTTTATACAGTCTTTCTGTGGCTAAGTTTTTGCACTAGAACGTGACCAATTACAAAGAAGAAGGAATCACTTATCATTGGTTGGTATCAGTTATAATGGGTCGCATGATACGAGTAATGCGACGCAATTATGCTAATCTGCGTCGAAGTGATCGTAGCTTCTGAGAGGGATTTTCTTATGATCACTGCGCCACAGTTACGTGCAACTACAATGAAAATTTTGCAGTTACGCGTAACTGCAACGCAATTGACAAAAAAAAGAGAGGCGACGTGGGCGTTTTATCTGTTTTTTACATTATCAGGAATGGAAAGAATCTGTTGAGCAAATTAAAACATTATTTTTTATTCTTTTAATTGCTTGTCAAAAACAAATCATGTCTTATTATCCATTTCTTTGACATTATATAATTACTAAATACAAATTGTGAGATTTATTTCATAGTAGATACGGTAAACAGTATTGTATCTTGTTCTTTTCAAATATCCATTATTCATATGGCGTTAGCATCTTCAGCAAGCGAAACAATCGCTGCAATGAAGGCAGCACAAAAATATTTATATCAATGTGGTGGTCCAATTTTAATGCTTATCGGTACGATCGGTTGCATGTTGAATTTAATTGTATTTACTCAAAAAGCTCTACGAAAAAATCCATGCTCAATCTATTTTATTGCATATAATGTGGCTAATTTTCTATACATTTATTCTTCATTATTGGCTTTAACATTGAGTGTAGGATATAGTATTGATGTTAGTATATATAACCTAATTATCTGTCGTTTACGTCTTTATACCGTTAGTTTATTTAATACTTTGAGTCCATTTTATTTAATTTTGGCTTCTGTTGATCGAATTTTTGTTACTTCATCAAATGCTCTTACACGACAACGAAGTACTCGCCGTTTTGCTTATTTATGTATTTTAATTGGAACATTATTTTGGGCATTATTTCATAGTCACGCATTAATCGCCTCGAATATTAGACAACTTGCTCCTAATGCGTTTCTTTGTTATTTTCAACAAGGTATTCATCTTGTTTTCGTTAGTTATTACGCCGTCATCAAAGAAACTTCGACACTTTTATTAATGATCATATGTGGATTGTGGTCTGTAAAGAATATTCGAAACATACAGCATGTTAGAGGCGTTACTAATCTCTCTACCAGTCGAACTACTACAGAAGGTAACTCACATTCAGCTTCTTCAAAAGATCGACAACTTATTTTTATGTTACTTTTGGATATCATTATCTGTGCCTCATTTAGTTTTGCGTTTGCAATTTTTCTTATGTATCAACAAATAACACAAAATTATACAAAAAGTTCTGATCAAATACAAATTGAAAATATTGTTAGAAATCTATGTCTATTTAGTGCTGGTATACCATTCTGTACTAGTTGTTATGCAAATTTAATCGTATCGAAAACCTTTCGATATGAAGCGAAGAAAGCACTTTCATGGAAACGAATTTTTTGCATCCATTGATTTTGAATTATTTATAATAGATTAACAATTATATGTTGTAATTATGTATTGTGTTTGTATAAATAATAAATACAATTGAAAAGAATTTTAGATTGGGGTGTAGGTGTGAGTCTTATATTCGGCAACATATATACATACACCCACATCAATACCCAATAAAGTATGTTGTTATGACAGAATAATGAATTATAAACTGTCAAAAGGTGAAATCAGGTATCATATTAGAACTAGGGTGGGTGGGATGTGGCTGTGGCTGTGGCTGTAGGTCTTATATTCATCCATACCCATAGTCATCGCACACCTCATCTCCTCACCAATATCGACAATCACATTCACACCCGCACCCACATCCACGCCCGCACAACCACGTCCAGACGAGACCCATAGCCACACCCAACTCACACCCTTCGTTCACTAAAAAATCCATTCAATGATAACGACGATAAAGTTTGACAATCAGATATTTTGAAGCATCGTACTTTTTAGCTTCGTATAGTAGTCAACGAAAGTTATTGATTGACATATGAAGCAGCTCAACAACATTGATAGGAGCTTAATAATGATAGAAAAAATAATACTAAATAATGTGCAGCTAAAACAAAATATGATACCGATGAGAAAGTTTTCATAGTTACTCTTTCGTGTATTACTCGATAGTATTCAATAAACTTTGTCAGAACTATTGATTATATATCATCATTCAGTATCCAATCATAGATGTCAGACACATTCATAATAAAAGATAAGGATGTAGTAAATAGTGGACGAGGATATGGAGTTTACGTAGTTGCCTCAAGAATCATAATGATACAACCTTAGGCGTGGTGTTGTTTATAATTGATTGCTTTAGATACGATTCGATTCTTTCAACTTAATTGGTCATCAGATAGTAAATCGCATTAGTAACAAGAAATGAATGTAAAAAATCTGATGCAACTAACTATTCTATCGTATCTCAGTCAAAGCCTGCTGAAGAAGAACGAAAAAGAAATTACAAGTCTATTAATATCCATATTTTACCATGCAATAAATAAAATTTAACAAAACGCAAAGTAACCTGTAGTTGTTATCATGATGCTTTCGCTATCTATCGTTACGTTGTCCAAACAAGTAATTGCACAAGCAGCAGAAATTTATCACACAAAACTATTATAAATTCACGTAAACAAAAACGTCCTACTAGAAATACATTATATATTCAACATACATTTCAACATCTCAAAAACTTTCATCAATGTCGATCAAAACTGCTCTGACTCTTGTTTCATTACCGGTAGAACTCTTCTACCGAATTTTTGATCACCTAAGTGATTTCGAAATTTTATGCTCGACGCGCAACGTTTGTACACGTTTGAATAAAATTGTCGACAGCTACCATCGATATCAGGTAAAACAAAATTGTATCTGAAAATTGAACTTTTATCATGTTCAACATATTATTCATCTATCTAAGATATCGATCTATATACTGTCTCACTAGAATAGTTTCCTTGACTAACTGCCCATTGTTACATCGCACTGAATAAATTTCATGATTTGTTCAAAACTACTAATCTTTTCATTTTCAGTCGAAAACTACGATTGACCACTGATAATAATTGAATTTAAACAAAACAGTCCACTAATAATCATCCAAGAATAATGAAAATAGGTATCATACGTGGCGATGACGATAAGTTAGAGACTTCTAAGCGTGTTAATACGTCAATACCACATTTCAAAAATCATTATTCAAATCGAACTAAGGCAAACACTGGTAAAATCGATCCCTTCTAGGAACACTGTCTCAACAATGCTATTACACCACTGATACAGAGTGATATATGAGCAGCTTCTTTCCTTTGTAAATCAGCTAAAACAACACACGCAACTCTAATAATATTTAAGAAAAAAATTTTGTTTTTCTACATCAAACATTGACGAGTATTAGGGCTTATAATTTCAGATTCTTTGAGGAGACGATCCTGAACTTCTCTATACGTCTCAAAGCTCTGCCATTTATGCCGTGGACTCCACAAGAAGTTGAAAACAATTTGCATGCAGCACAAAAATTTCTATACTAACGACAGTTTTCAGTGTTTTTTCCCCATAACAAAAAACTTCCATGTGGTGGAACCAAATCGAAGACTTCCCAGTTCAAGCCACACTTAACGATTATAGGTCCCATTACGATATCACTTTGTAAATCCTTCCATCATTTTACCTTTCTTACACTCACAAAGACACTAACCATACTGAAACTCCGCTGGAATCAAATCGGTGATGAAGAAGTACAAGACCTTTGCACATCTCTCGAGCAAAACCAAGTAATACCGTCATCTTCTTTCTTTCTATCATTCACTGTCTGTTCAAAACAGATATTAACCGTCCTGGACCTTACCAGCAATCGAATCAGTGATGAAGGAGTCCAATATCTGGCGAAAGCTCTCGAACAAAACCAAGTAATTTGCTCACCTTCTCTATCGATCATTCGTTGCATGTTCAAAACAGACACTAGTAACACTAATTGTTTGTAACAATGACATCAGTGATGAAGGAGCACAACATCTTGGCAAGGCACTCGAAAAAAACAATGTAATATACTCATCTTCTCTATTTATTCTCTATTACACGTTCAAAACAGACACTAACCACACTGGATCTTAGCTACAATCTCTTCCGTCATCAAGGAATACAACATCTTGCCAAATCTCTCGAACAAAACAAAGTAAATTGTCCACATTCTCTAACTATCATTCGCTGCATGTTCACAATAGAGACTAGCCACGCTGAACGTCTCCTACAATGAAATTGATGATGAAGGAGTAAAACATCTTGCCGAAGCTCTCGTACAAAATCAAGTAATTTGTCGATCTTCTCTATCTATCATTCATTTCACATTCAAAACAGACACTAACTACACTAGACCTTAGCTGTATTTCAATTGGTTACCAAGCAACACAGCATCTTGTCAAAGCTCTTGAACAGAACAAAGTAATTTACCCATCTTCTGTATGTATCATTCATTATCTATTCAAAACAGACACTAACCACACTGAACATTGGATCGAATCGAATGGGTGATGAAGCAGCACAACTTATTGCCGGATTTCTTCAACAAAACAATGTAATATTTCCAATTTCTCTATATATCATTCATTCTATGCTCAAAATAGACACTAACGGCGCTGAACTTCGGTAGCAATGAAATCAGTAATTCAGGAATACAATACTTTGCAGAAGCTCTGAAACATAACAAAGTAATTTGCTCACCTTTTTTTATCTATCATTCACTATCTGTTCAAAACAGACACTAATGACAATGAACCTCGGGGGCAATGCAATCGGGGATGAAGCAGCGCAACAACTTGGCAAAGCTCTTGAGCAAAACAAAGCAAATTTTACATCTTCTCTATCTATCCTTCATTGCCTGCTCAAAATAGACACTGATCACATTGGACCTCAGGGAGAATTCAATCTTTGATGAGGGAGCACAACATCTTGGTAAAGCTCTCGAGCAAAATACAGTAAATTCTTCATCTTCTCTATGCATCATTCATTGCCTTATCAAAACAGACACTACTCACACTGAATCTCTATCAAAATGTAATTGGTGATCAAGGAGCACAACATCTTGCTGCAACTCTCGAACAAAACAAAGTAATTTTGCTCACTTTCTGTATCTATCATTGACTGCATATTCAAAACAGACACTAACCACATTTGACCTTAGCTACAATAGAATTAGCCATCAGGGAGCACAACATCTTGCGAAAGCTCTCGAAAAAAACAAAGTAATATTCCCATCTTGTTTATTGATCACTTATAGCATGCTCAAAACAGACACTAACTACACTGAACCTCTGTCAAAATAAAATCGGTGATAAAGGAGCACAGCATCTTGGTAGAACTCTCGAACAAAACAATGTAATATCCTCATCTTCTCTATATGTAATTCATTACTTGTTCAAAATAGACTCTAACTACATTGAATCTTGGCTGGAATAAAATCAATGATGAAGGAGCAGAATATCTGGGTATAGCTCTCGAACAAAACAAAGTAATATTTTGATTTTCTTTATTTACCATTCACTTCGTGTTCAAAATAGACACTAATTACACTGGAACTTAGCTACAATATAATCGGTCATCAAGGAGCACGCCATCTTGGTAAAGCTCTTGAACAAAATAAAGTAACATGATCACTTTCTCTATCTATAATTTATTGCATGTTCACAATAGACACTAACCACACTGAATCTTAGCTACAATAATATCAGTGATGAAGGAACAGAACATCTTGGCAAAGCTCTCGAACAAAATAAAGTAACATGATCACTTTCTCTATCGATAATCTATTGCATGTTCACAACAGACACTAACCACACTAGACCTTAGGTACAATAAAATCCGTTATCCAGGAATATACGATGTTGGCAAAGCTGTTGAACGAAACACAGTAATATCCTCATTTTCTCTATGTATAATTCATTGCCTGATCAAAATAGACACTAACCGAACTAAACCTCCGTGGCAATGAAATTGGTAATCAAGGAGCATGCTATCTTGCAAAAGCTCTTGAACAAAACAAAGTAATATCTACACTTTATCTATCTATCATCTATTGCGGGATCACAATAGACACTAACGAAAGTGAACCTCAGTGAGAATCTAATCGGTGATTTCGGAGCATATTGTCTTACCCATGGTATAAAAAGAAAGCGAGTAGAATTAGTACATGATTCGTGGGACATGGACGACTCAGAAACTGACTCTATTGATGCTGAACATGAATATGTTGATGTGAATACGGATGTTCGTGAATGTTTGTGACTTATCTTCATCCATATTTATGATTGTTTGCGAGCGATATCCTGCAAGTGTTTTAGTTGTGCTATTTCTTGAATAACGTTATTTTGTTACCTTTTTTGTCTTTTTTGCTTTCTCATGATTAATTTTGAAACAGAATTGGGTGTGGGTGTCAATGTGATTGTCGATATTAGTGAGGAGATGAGGTGTGC